CCATGGTCCTCTGACATCTTCAGATTTCCAGGGCTCTGTTTATCAATATGCATGTACTATGATGGATTCAATGACAGCTAAATGTTATTTGAAAATTAAATACAATAAAAATACACTGTATCATAAAATTCTTCAAACTGTGAACTAACACAAAATACATTTACAGTGAAAAATTCAGTATGTAATTAAATGCAACAATTTTCTAAAACAGAAGTCTCAAAATCTTTGTAGATTACATTCTTTACACTTATGAGCTTGTTTTGGTCGATTAAAATGTAGCATTTCTGTTAGCATGCTGTATGATAAACACATTCTCTTACAGTATGGTAAAGCTTGGATTTTCCATTTGAATAACTAAACTTTTTAGTCAAAGCCACTTACAAAGTTTAATTTGTAAGTCTTGATGAACCATACCAACTATAGGGGATGATGCCGGATGTGATATGCTTCTGAATGTGTTTTAGGTTTAGCATGCATGCCATGTTTCAAAGTTAAATTTATGCTATTGACATACACAGAATATAAAGTAAAATTATTCAGCAAAAAATACTGTCAATTTAGTCTTGATTATTGAGAAACTAATATTTGAACAAAAACAATTTTATATCACAGCAATTATTTCAGTAAATAGATAAAATTCAAAGATGACATGGCAGTATATTTGGAAAACAGAGGTGTGTGGATGTGTAATATAAACTGTCTAGATCATATTTTTTCATACAACTGTTATGCAACACTATGGACACTACAGCGAATGATATGAAAAGGACAAAGAAAAGAAACAGGTTCTGTATTCCATAAAGATGGGCACAGATGCACATGAAAAGTAATAGTTCACTATTGTAACAATCAGAAGAATTAAAATATTTTATTAAATGGCTATCAGTAAGTGAGTTAAGAAATTACTTCACACTTAGCCTTTCCTATCAGGTAAACAGGTAAATTTGTCTACAACACATATGATCAGAAAACAGAAAAGGAGGATTGATAATAAGGGAAATCAATCCTAATAGTATGCTATAGAAACATATGTGCTTATTTTACCACTGAAACAAAGTATAGGTCATTTATACAAAATATCCATGTATTAACAGCATTAATGTGAAAGGTCACAAGTAGATTGCAAAGCTACTTGATTTTAAAAAGCACCCTACTCTAAGATTTAATTCAGGGGTGGGGAACCTAAGGACCAGGGGCCGGATGTGGCCCGTGGTGTGCTTGGATCCAGTCCCCAAGACTCAGGATTCCCCCCAGCTTTGGGGAGCCCACAATGGAGCTCCAACCCCTGCCTGCCCTCGGGGCTGGGGCACACAAAATCTATTAGCCTGGGCTCCCCTAGGCTCTAGTATGTGAGGGAAATGTGGGGAGCATCTTTCTGCTTCTCAGTCGGGGCCATGTCAGTGAGGATTTGGGGTTTTTTTTGTTTTGCCTCTCACTTGTGTACAGCCCCTGCCTGATTTTTCTGTGGGTCAGTGGCCCCCGACTTAACAAAGGTTCCCCTCCCTTGATTTAATCAATACTCCAATAGACTTACTGCTCCCTTAGAGATGCATACCCTTAAAGTAGAGACAAATTAATGTCTAGGAGTGACGTTTTATTACTATATATTCTCCTGCACTGTATGCATATACAAAACATAAACAAAATCTATGACATATCACCTAGAAATATTCATACAATCAAGGCAGCATAGGTGTCTGGTAGCTTAGATGGGAGAAGAATTTGCCTTCCCAAACTGCCAGGCATGACCCTGCCCACATTCTAACCCCAGAATAACTGTTGTAGACGTTCTGGGCGCAGAGTGTTGCTCCAGAAGTCGGGGATGCTGGAGCTTGTGCCTTCCTCCCTCCCTGGTTCTCCAGAGCCAGGGAGGCTGGGGCACACATGCTTGACTCCTCTCCACTCTTTCTCTCCCTGTGGTTGGGGTGGGGCCTCAGCAGAGGGAGCAGGGCTGTAGATGGGGCTAAGGGCCTGCATCCCTCAGCCCTAGCTGCACTGACCACCTATGAAACTATTTTTCCAAGCACTGCTCTCTAAAACCAAACCTTAATTTTGAAAAAAATATTTACCTCAAGGATAAAAGTGGAAAGATGGCACAAGATTTGATATAGCTACGTTGCACTGTCTCCTTCCTTTCATTTTTAGAGTTCAGTCTCTGTTCAATCCTTTGCACTAACAAAACTGTCCTGAGTACCATCATGTGGACAAAATGAGGTTATAGTCCTGGTCCTGAATAGCTTTGAAAGGCTTTGATATTAAGCCACAATAACTTTTATTACTTTGCTAAAGCCAAACTATGTAGTTCCAAATATACCATCTACATTAAACAAATTCTAAAGTTATTTTCATAAATATGGGGCAGTAGGATTTGAGTACAATCTAAACTCTAGAACAATTTGAAGTACCTTATTACCATCATTTCTCATATTTCATTTTAAATATTGTTTTACCTAAAAAATTCCTAGTTCAGAAAAATACTTTTGTGCTGTCAGAAAGATAATCCCTTATTATTAAGCAATGTTTACTATAGCACATGTTTATTAACCAACATATATATATATGTGTAATTGAAGAGGAGACGCAACCTTCTCAAAAAAGATATAAATCAAGGAAACATTAATCTGAAACTGAAAAAAAAAAATTGGAAGGTTAAATCTGCCAAATAAGAAGAGAAGCATGTTTCAGGCCACATTCTGCTTTTCAGTCTCATCATGTAAAACTGAAATAACTCAGCATAAAAGTAGAGTTAATCTACAGTGATACTATTCTTGCTAAACATATGATGTGGCTCTGCAACTTGGAACAAGTATGCAATTATTTTAAATCATAAATCATTAACCAAAAAAAAAGCCTGAAATAAATTAATTACTAACATAGTTACCTGTGAGATCAAAATGTTCAAATGCAGATTTTTAACACTCTACTAAGTCAAAAACGAGGAAAAAAGCAGCTGTAAGAAATGTGTAAGAAAAATAATCTTTTTAAAATATGTAAAATGTTTTGTTTTGTGATAAATTCAAGTAAATTAACATTTATAAAATCAGGCTAGGTAAGTTACAAGCTTTCAGAGTTGTAGTTCAGCAAGCTCAATGTCCAAAATATACACATAACACGAAGTAATATATCTATATACACTGTTCTGTGTAGCATTCCGGAAAGGGAACAAGCTAATAAAGATTCCAATAATGTGATTTTCTTAAAAGATAGCATCCTTTTTAGTATTATCACAGGAAATAAAGTTTAAAATTAATTGATAAAATAAAAAATATTTTGAATATTTTAAATAAGTTTTGGAATCACTAGAGATGTACAAATAAATCAACTTAAAAAATACCCATGAAATATACCTGACCAGCAGTTCATGTAACTAAACTGAAAACACATGGGGACAATTTCTCTACTGGTATAAATTCACTGACATCAATAGAATTATGCCAGAAGTGAATTTTGACCATATACTCAGGAGAACAAATGAATAAAGCAACCCATTTAAAGTCTGTCTTTAGATATACTTGCGAGGAACTCTATTCAGACCAAATTTATTGTCACTGCAGATTCTCTGAAGGCATCCACACAACAGCTTCACTAACACCCAATTTGTACTCAAAAGTAAAAAAGAAAAAATCTTCTGAATCTCTCTTTTGGAGTCTGAAAGGCCAAGATTTGGCAACAGCCCCCTAATAGTTGTGAATCAAGAAGTCTTGTCTCCCTAAGCTCATACTATATATGACCACTTAGCTGAACACAATCCAAGAAAACCACTAACAAATCACTGAGGCTACGTCTAGACTGCAGGCTTCTCTTGGAAGAAGCTTTTCTGGAAGAGATCTTCCAAAAAAACTTCTTCCGAAAGAGAGCGTCTACACAGCAAAAGCGCATCAAAAAAGCAATTTGCTTTTTTGAAAGATAGAGTCCACTGAATGGACGCTATCTCGCATCTAAGCTGTGATTACTATGGGCGGAATGGCCACCAGGGCACCTGTGCTTTTTCCTTTTTCCTCTTCTTGTGGAAGAACTCCCTCTTTCCCATCCACATATGCCTTTTTCCGAAAGAGCTCTTTCGGAAAAAGGCTTCTTCCTTTAAACTCAGATAGCTAGCAAAGGTGTTGGCAGGGGACCAGAAGAACCAATGGGTATAAAGTGCTGAAGTCTGAATTGTATTAAGCTACATTGCCTGCTCTCTTAGTGTCTTCTAAGTTAAGGGTGAGAGGGAAAAACATGAAGTAATCAGAATTACCATACCTACAAGGAACACTGGGAATGGAATTGGACTGAAGCAGGAAGGGACTGTGAGTAAATAAAGGGAAAAGATGTATTTAGTCACGCTTGGGGAATTTTTCTTTGTTTTGGTTGTTTGGTTAAACTTCTCTGTGTGATTCCCTCCTACGTTCACTATCTAAGATAAGTTCTCTGGCTGTGTCTACACTGGCATGAATTTCCGGAAATGCTTAAAACGGAATACTATTCCATTATCAGTTTTTCCGGAAAAGGAGCGTCTACATTGGCAGGCTGCTTTTCCGGAAAAGCCCTTTTCCCAGAAAAGAGTCTGTGACCAATGTAGACACGCTTTTCCGGAAAAGAGCCCCGATCGTCATTTTTGCAATCGGGGCTTTTTTCCGGAAAAGACTACTGGGCTGTCTACACTGGCCCTTTTCCGGAACAGTGTTCCGGAATAAGGACTTATGCCCGAGCGGGAGCAGAATAGTTTTTCCAGAATAGCGGCTGATTTTGTACAGTACAGCATCGTTGCTTTTCCGGAAATTCAAGGGCCAGTGTAGACAGCTCGCAGCTTATTCTGGAAAAGCGGCTGATTTTCCGGAATAAGTGGCCCATGTAGACACAGCCTCTGTGTTTTAATTTCTTTTACTTAGTTGCTCTGTAACATCTGGCAACCAAGTATTCTTTATTAAGTATATCTTTTTTGTTTTGTTAATAAAATCACTCTTTTAAAGGTGATGATTTGATTCTTGTGTCCTGGAAAGAAACACGTCTGTCTCTCTGTGTGTATGCATGCTTCAAACTAAGAGGTCAGCTACCAGAGACTGCAGTTGTTTTCTCTGTGTTTTGCAAGATCTCCTGTGGTAAAGGAGGTTGGGGGTACCCCTCTGGAAGAAGTCCAAGTGCTTCCTTCCTGGGTTCAAGAAGAAAGGGTTTTTCTTTTTGTTTGTTTCATGTGGTGGTGGCAGCTAGCCTCCCAAAAGTCAGTAACTCTGGGGAGTTTTTGTAAGCAGAGCTTATAGAGGCAAGGTATTTAAGGTCTATTGGAAGCCCCCAACTTCTGCACTCAGAGTGTCAGAGTGGGGAACAGCCCTAACAATATCTTTGGCAAGAAAAAAGCTTCTTTTCATTAGCCCTGGATGAACTGAACATTTTATTTATTGTTGCTGACCTTCTGCTAAATGGCCCAACTTCTTAAATATCTTTAGGATTCATTTCACTTCATTCTATTTTGTTTTCCAGTGATAGAATCTGCCATGGTAAGAGACATACACAGTGTTTGTAAACCGTACACAGTTATGCTCCATGATGCTTTTCCAAAGTGAATTTTACATGTTTCCAAGCCATATCATGTATTCCAACTAGGGTTTTTGTATCCTTATCAGTCCCTGTTCAGATATCCTTTTTTGACACATACTGTCAGTGTAAGGAGGACATCAAGGAAATAGATGTTGTGAATGTAACCCCAGTTGAGTTTTAAAGATTGCCTCATTGATTCTATCATTGTCTAATACTTACATTCTAAAGTAAAAGGTCTTTACATTGCAAGCAGGGATAATGCCTGCTTACTGGATTAATTTGAGTGTAGACATCTAGGAGACCACATATAACCTATTTGATGTAGGACATACCACAACTAATTTAGGTCCAAGTTAAAAATAAAGCCAATCCCCAACAATTGGCCATCTTGGATTAATCACCTGAAGTTCAGTGAATGAGCTGGTTCTGAATAGAATTATCATTCAGAGATACAAAATGCCTTTATTAGTCAGAGCTGACCGATTTCCTGACAGTCTGAATGCAGCAATATGGTGCACAAGGGTAGAGAGGATATAACAACAGAATCTTCATTCCTCCCTCTTGCTCCACAGAAGGCATTCAAGCAACCCAGAATGTTTTGGGTGTTTACCATAAGGATAGGTCAGCTGGGTATGAAAACCTAAGACATGACTTTCTGAAGTGATTGGTAACATTTTGTATGAACAGAGTTCCCTCAGCACTTGTACCTAAGAAAATAAACTTCAGTGTGAATATTTGAATTTAAAAACTCTACAACTGTAATTTACTCTGTAATAAGGGGAATAAAATAGTATTAACAATACTTCAGAATCGGTACTGACTTAAGATCATCAAAATGTAAGAAAATAAATTTTGTTTAAAGACAAAAGCTCAGAAGAATTATTTGGGCCTGTTGCCCGCTCTAAATCAGAGAAACAGTAAAAATATGACACATGGAATGAACTCATAAAATCATTTCAAAACTCCAACAAGGCAATTACTGTAGTAAAAGACACAGTCTAAATGCTCTATAAAATGTCTATACATTGTACAGTCTATATATATATATATATATAGACAAAAATACACTAAGTATTATGAAGATTAATGGATTCATAAAGGGAAATAAGGTTTAAACATGAACCAAAGTGTGTCTCTGGAGGGATGTTTATTTCCCACTGGCACGCTGTCGAGCCTGAGATACATGATAGTAACAATCTGCTGGATTGCACCTTCCACTCGGCCCTGGAGGCCCCTGGAGACCTGGTGATCCTGGAGTGCCTGGAGGACCTGGCACACCAGTGGCTGATGAAAGAAAGATAGCCATTAGCATAGACATCTTCACTGTGCATATGTGAGCCTCAGAAGCCTGCTCCTTCATACCAACTACACAAGAGGCACGGAGACTGATTCTGACCTCAAACCAAAAATAAAAGAAATAAAAAAAAATAATCAGGGGTTACCTTATGAAAAATAAATGAAGGTACACTGGTATAAAACTAGTGTGAGACCAGAAGCAGATTGAAAGAAGTGTGTAAAAAAAGTGCTACATAGTCCTGTTTTTTGTTTCTGTAAAACTAGAGACATTTACCTGAAGGGCCAGGTAGACCAGGATTACCTGGGAGTCCAATTCCAGGCTCACCTCTTTCTCCTTTCTGTCCTCTGTAACCTAGAAAAAAGAAAAAGAAAAAAAGAATAAAAGTGCCCTGTAATTATAAAAATAGTTATTTCTATCCAACTTTCCGACATAAAACTACAAAAAAGTCCCAAACCCCATGTGGAAACCAATGTCAGTTTTTTCAGCCGTTAATAATCCACTCATTAACTAATAATCCCTAACTAATAGATTCTGACATAGAAGAGTCAATTGGCCTCTCCCTTTCCAAAATTTTTCTGCTACTTGGAAAGGACAAAAAGCTGATGGTGTAAGCTCTTTCAACATTAACCATGAGGTGAAAAAATATATCGACAAAAAATTTAGGTATGGCAGAAAAAATAAAATAGCTTCCTACAATGTATCTAAAGAAAGAATATGAGATTTGATAGTCTCACAATGTGCTCACTGTATTGAGCAGAATAGAATGCCAGAGGGTAACTTCCATTACAAGGTCGTCAAACTTACTAACCACCAGTAACTCAATATCTCTAAGAGCTACTGCAGGTAAATTTTTTATCATTTGTATTATGTGTGTGTTTTAGATTGTAAAATTCTTGGGCAAAGCTACATCATCTGGTGGGTTTGTAAAGTATTATGTATACCTATCCCACTATATAAAGAGGAGGAAATCCCTTTAGTTATAGCCTACAGCTACCTTCACTTTTAATACACTGTTGTGGAGGTTGTGAAGATTATAGGTGCCAGCATGCAATGGACTGCTGTGAGCTATGTACCTGATAATTGCTCACATGTTCAATAATTGTGCACAGCACACTGGGATTTGCCCTCACTACTCTGTACTGAAGATGAGTGGCTATATTTGTTCAGCTGTATGCAAACAAAGTCAGCTCTCAGCTGTATGCAAATTAGATTCACCCCACTTGTTTCTTGGCAAGCTGATGGTTCCATCAGCTGGGAAAATTCTGTATGTACTTACAATGGCAGTACCGTGGTCACTTATAATTTTCCCCATCGTTAAAAATAGGCCTGTAACTTTTTCATTAAAGCAAAATGACTGATGGTAAATAAATATAGTTTATGGGGAATAACAAATCTGACACCAACACCTAACTTTTGTAAGGATTTGTGAGAGGCCCTCCTCCTCCATACAGGAGTAAATGTGTCTGTGTGTATGGGTGGGCTGGTTATATACATTGAGCAGCAATGCTCCATCCATGGTTACATTTAGAATTGCAATATATTTCCAGTATTTTACGAGGCCATTCCCTTTTTGGGGCAGCTTTCCGTTGGTCAGGGAAAAATTAGAAGAGGAGGGTTATGAGGTGACAAATGAGTACTTAGTTAATTGTTATCTGAACAACAATGGGATTGTGAGATGTATGGCTGGAGTAGCCTTTTAGCAGGATTACAAGGCAACACCACTGCATATGGCAACTGAAAAAGAAAATGGGAAGCCATATAACTATTGTGGGCACCAAATGAAACTATACAATTGAACAGTACACACATTCATACAATAGAAAATCTATTATCAACTGTCGCAAGCAGCAATTGGTAATTTATTCCCCTTTTTCAGCATCCCAACATTCCTCCTCAAGTTAACGCTGAAATGGTAACTGGCATGCATGCATTCCAAAACAATAGGCTATGTAAGCAATGTGACATGCAAAAAAGGAAAATCATAGAAAAACAGGTAGGGGTCTAAAAAGAAAGCAAGCAATTAAATATTTCAGAGAGAGAGAGAGAGAAAAGAAAACCCACTCTTTAAATCAGCCATGCATTCTGGTAGCTGGGCCCTATTAAACAGAAGTGCCTAAGAGATGCACACACTGTGAAACCCTCAATAGGAAAGATAAATGAGCTTATATTCAATAATAGATCTTGAATTTGTTTTTAAATTGCCACGATTAACAATATTTGTGACTAAATTTTGTGCAATTCATTGTAGTGGCCAATGTTTGCTAAAGTCAACCATATAATCAAGATGCTTATTACATTTCCTATTTATTCTTTTTCTATGCACCTTAATTTTATAGTTAGTAGACTACATTTTATCAGAACAAACCCACCTAATAATACTTTAATAAAACAGCACTCTCATTAATTGTTTACATTTTGTATTTCTATATGTATGGCACACAAAGAAATCACATTAAAAATAATCATGTTTACAATCTATGCAATGTATCATGTGTACATAACAACATGGTCACAAGGGGACTGAGGCAGACTGACGAATTCTGTAAATATTACTGAAATACAAGTAAATAATAATAATGAAAAAAATTCTCAAAACCAAGCAGTCGAGATAGGCACACTTCATGAGTGAAAATAGTATAAACAAAGGCTAACTGCATTTGTGCACATGTACAAATGAATATTTTGTACATATCAGCATAATAAGTTTCAATTATACCAACATTTAATAAAACAATTCTCGTGTAACTTTTCTAAAAATAATGCTTTATTTTACAGCATGTAAACAATAAGGAAAGCATGTAAGTATATTATTGGAGCACCTTTCTGAAACAACCCAAGATTTTAACTCTTTCTGTAAAACTGTCAGTTTTATATGAGGTATATTTTATGCAGAAGTAGGTCCCATGATTTCACTTCTGGAGGATAATATTACAATTTACCTGAGCAAATTTTTAACATGAGGCAAAGAAAAATATTACCATTCGCCTAAATAAGGCTTTAGGTTTATTACAGAAAACCCAGGCACAGGTGCATTTTTTGTTCGCAGAGTTAAAACTCCAGTACCAGGCTTTATTCAAAAGGTTCACAAAGGCAACAGTTTTCTTAGAGCTGTGTCTGGAAATTTTACTTTGTTGTAATTCTTAAAGCAGCATAGACCCAGAATATTTAGGTACATCAGGAGTCTATGCCAATAGTTTTGGTAAATACCGGGGGAAGGGGAGCCAGGTGTAGGTTAGAAGCAGTTGGCAGTAAGGCAGGGCGGGGGGCTAGGAAGTCAATGACGGGGATCTTCCCTGGTCTGACAAATCCCCTTGATTGAGACCCATCAGGTCCCAAGGGTGCTGGACCAGGGATGTCTAACCTGAAATATGGTATAGTGCTGTTTTCTTCTCAGAGACTGAGTTCAGTGGAATTTTATACAGTTTCATTATATTGCTAACTGACAATATTATCATCATTAATAGTCCATCAGCAGCATCACAAATCTAATCCAATAGTACGTATTCAGAGAGGGCAAAATGACATGCATGAGCATTCTAGAAGAGAAAAATCACTGAGTTATTTAATTCAGAAAAGCTTCAACAGGATTTTTTGGATAAAATCCAGAGTCTCTTCTCTTCTCCACTACTACTCACGGGAGTTATATGAGTAGTGTCTAGAGAAATATGAGGCTCGCTAGCATACATGAGAGGACAATGGACAACAATGCCAAAATATCTGATGCATTTTATTGTACAAATAATCTAGATATTAAAGAACTCTTGAATATATAGAGAGCAGCAAGTCACCATAAAGAATTATAAGAACAAAATGCTAGTCTGATCTCCCATTGATATTCTATGTTAGTTCTGTGTGTGGGTCCAGTTCAGCCAAATCTGTGGCTGCAAGGATCATGTATACTGCTAGTGCTCCAGTATAATAGAGTGTGTAAAAACAAACTGCTTCATACAGAAAGATCTCTGCACTTCCCTTCTTGCTCTCAGTTACGTCTGTGAAAACTCACTTAAATCAATGGAATTCATTAAGTCAACTACTATAACTTTGGACAGAATATAGCCTAACATGAATGCTACTGCTGTAAATAACTTGTAAATCAGTTGCATATATTTTTGTATGGCATTTGTTTCCTTTACTATACAGGCTGGATCTCTCTGCTCTGATACCCTTGGGACCTGATCAGTCCCAAATGAAGGAATTTGCAGAACCAGGTGAATATCCCTGCCACAAGTCCCCAGCCTGTCACCAGCTCTGTTTCATGTACTGGATGGCCCCCTCTACCTCCAACAAGCTATGCTGCTGTCCCTAGCTGGGCTTGCAGGACACTTGACTGCCCCCACTGCCACGGGCTCCTGGATGCGCCGCAGAACTGTCCTACCCACCACGGGGCTCTGGCAAGATCATGGGTGTTGTCGGATCAGAGTCCCGGTTTAGGGATGTACAACCTGTACTATTCCCAGAATCTTAACATTCACAAAATACCTATAATCCTCATTAAACTGGTGTGTTACTTTACCAATTTTTCATTGATAACACTGCTGCATAGTGTAATGTTGCAATATTAGTACTGAAATTTTTAATTTTAACAGAAAACTTCTTTTACATACAGCCTAAAAGCTTCATAGCTAATCCTATATTCTGGCATCTATGCTGTAACTTCTTTATTATATTATACCATTTCATTGCAATCATAAAGTAACCTCATGATTATTTGTATGTGACATGTTTTGTCCGATGAACCTACCAATGAGGTTAACTTCAGTTTTCCTTGCATTGTAAGAACACTTACAGAGAACAATTCTTGCAGAGAACAATTCTGAGCTTCATTAAAATTTTATGACTCTGTTCTAGTGATCCCTACGGCATAATTTTTTTTCTTAAATGTGAGCACTGATGCTCTTATGCACTGGCATTTAAGACCTTTACTTTTCTCAAAAAACAATGGCAGAACTGCAGTGTATGTTATCTCTTTGGTATACCAGTCCAGAACATGTTATCTCTTTGGTATACCAGGTACGCCCATAAACATACCCTGCAGAAACTAGACACACATGCAAATAACATGCTATCTTGCTGCGACTAGGCATACTTGTATGTTACATGCTTTCTTGAACAATCTTTCTACTACATTTGTTACTGTCTCAGGCTACCGCTACTCTACAAACTTTGTCCGGAAAAGGAAATGCAAATAGAGTGCTCATTTGCATATATTGTGCTCTCATTTGCATATTCTCTTCTGATTCTTTTGCAGAGGAGGTTTTTGCACAAAAAAGTGCTGTGTAGATGGCGCCTTATTGTGTAAAACCCCGTTTTGTGCAAGATCCCTTCCTTTGCTCTTGCACAAAAGGGGGGTTTTGCACAAAAAGGCCCCACCTTAATAGCAAAAACCTCTTTCACAAAAAGGATCGGAAGAGAATATGCAAATGAGAGTGAAAGATATGCAAATGAGTGCTCCATTTGCTTTTCCTCTTCCGGAAAAAATTCATAGTGTAGCCGTAGCGTTAGTCTGCTCAGTAATTTAAATGTTATTTTGGTGCCTGCTCCCAAGAGTGAAATGAACAGGCATAACAGGGAAGGGTATCAAGTGCTTATGTGCCCTCTTTGGTTTTTCACTATGGCTGTAGGCGTAAGTAAGTGAAACTTTTGCTTTTCCTTTCCTTCAAAGTGTAATTTTACATTGATATGTCTATATTTTATGCATCAAAGGTAGGAATGCCTCTCATCTAGTTCAAGTCTTGTTGTTTTATATACTGAAACAGTGTGCTGAAATGAAGGATAAAGTTTGGGAACCCTGTGTCAATGGGACATTACTTTTACTTAAGAATAAAGCACAAAAATAATAAGATTAATTTTTCTAAACACTTTTTCTCTATACTTAGCTATCATCTTCACTTCTTGAAATTCACTAACTTAAAGTAATTCATATTATGGTTTGTTACTTCCCAGACTCATCTGAGAGTATCTACCATGTACAATCTCATTGAACAATCTAACATTGGCATTAATGATGACCAGTTACAGTGATCTGAATATTTAGATAATGACCAAGTCACTATTGTAAAACTCTAAATCCCTTTTATTGCCTTCTTTGATCCTTTATTCTTGTTTGTTCTTCTTAGTCTGAACTCATCTCATTTTTCAAGCTTCAGTCAAGGTTTTGCTCTTATCAGTGTTAATAGTTTTTACTCTTCTTTTAGCTCTCCATTCCACACATCTTCAGATTTGCTTTCATGTTCTTCATTCCAGTCTGACTTGCTCTGACTCCAGAGCAGACCAAACTAACAAAAGATAATAATAAAGAACTGCCTATACATATACTGTAAATTATATACTCTCCCCAAATCATTTTATATATTTTATAAATTCTTCTGTCAATCTTTTCCTATTAATCTCCCATACCAGTGTAGTTTGTGCAGAAATACAGGAAAATCCAATTATAATGAGACCAGATACTGTGAAACTACTTCTATGGTGAAGGACAGTACAGTAGAATCAAAGTCTCAAATTATTTCAATGCACTGCACTGTGCAACTTGTAGTTTTGGATATAATACAAATCCACTTAGTGTGAAGCTGTGTTATGATAATAAATGACTTCACTGTAAGAGAGATACACTATATGGGGAAAATTCTTTGCCTTCCGTCTTTTCTCATCAGTGTTGTCTCTGGATCAGAGCTGTGAGAACTCAGACTAAATCTTTGCTTCTCAGGAGATAACCTGGTTGCTAGAATTGAAGGTATATATTTTCTTCCTTGTGAATGTATTTTTGAACCAAATCACTACTATAACACGTTTCGATATCTAAACTTTATTATTTATTAGAAAAAAATGCACTGCTTAGGTGTTTTTAATAAGTAAAAGCCACACATTTGCTATGAGTTAATTTACAGATCTGCTCTGGAAATGCAGTAGTATAGTTTTAAAAGTTAATCATTAGGAAGCTAGATATGTAGTTCTAATTTAACTACCATTAGCAAGTATATGAAGACTTAAAAAGCACAATACCTAGGAACATTTTATTGGAAACCCTACCTTGAGGTCCAGGTTCTCCTGGTGGGCCTGGCAATCCATCTTTTCCTGGTGGACCTGGTTTTCCATGACCATGGGAGGCTAACATTGCAGCTGGCAGCTTCAGTTGGGATATAAACTGAGTCATCCTCTCTTCATCAACAAAGGACACAGAAAAGAGAACGTGTAAGAGATTTACTAGCACAACCTATTAAAATCACTAACCAACCCCTCAACTTCAATTTCCAAAGTAATCCAGAAGTAGTTACCAGAAATAATTTTATCTATTCCTTTAAAATGGCTAATATCCTGATCCTGCAAGGTGTAATCACTGGCAAACTTCAAACACTCCGACTTTAATGGCAGGAGTGCTTACACCTCCCAGAGTTGAGCCCTTTATAAAAAAATACTAACACTAATATGATATAGGTAAAGACACACTGTGTGTGTCCCTATGTATATCAATACATACACACACACACACACACACTATTTACACCATCTCCTGGTGACAGAAGTTTTCAAATACATGGCTACAGAACAGACAGTATATAATCTTATTGAAATTCACTCCAGTGTCAAAAATCTATACAAGATCTATAATTCTATGTAAGATACAATAACAGGGCTTAAGATGGACTTAAATTCTACACAGCTTTTGTACTGCCCTCTGCAGTAGGATGAATTTCCTTCTCTGGTTACCTTGGCATTTTACTAATTTTTAAAAAAATGCTGACCTGATGGAGTATCTGAAGGTGTCAAATCTTAAAAAGTAATCACAATTAAAAACAGAGGCAAGTCAAAGTTGTCAGATACTTGACCTGTCAGAGAGGTGCAAGTAACTAATTTTTCAGTGTGTAGAGAGGTAGGAAATGCTGAATTAATTCATTATTGAATAAAAATAATTGAGAAATGGGTTCCACTATATCTTGCTAGCTCACTGCCTCTAATACACAAGAATTGGGAGAGATATATGCAGGATTTAGTTTTTAGGTAGATGTAGTAGGAAAGAAACTGCTTATGGTTGTTGGTCAATTTCCTAATTACAACCATGTCTATTGCAGAAATTTTTAATTTAAAATATTCATAAGAATCAGACCAATGGTCCATGTAGTTCAATATACTGTTTCTGGACCAGATACCGCAGAGGGAATGAATAAAGCAGGCAATTTCGAGTGATTCATTTTCTGCTATTCAGTCCGAAGTCCTGGTAGTTGGAAGTTTAGGGATAATTTAATCTACTTGCAGCTGCCTTATTAATTCTTTAAATATAGAAAAAGGTTGTTAGTGTCTAATTTTGAAACCACTCTAATACTGTAGATTCAAAACATTGAATAAAGAACAGCACAGACAGAAAATAAAATATTAAGGTGAAAAAAGGAGAAGAGGACAGTACATACAATTCTATTTTGAAACACAACTATGAGGTTCCTGCTTATGTTTGACTCCAAATCACTATATTTATCATGCGGGATGTTGTGCATAGAAAACATATGCACAAATGGCTTCCTATAGTATTCATTTCTGCTTTTTAAACATTTCTGTCCATGAATGACAACACACAAACCTAGGGCCTGATCCTGTAGTAAGGATGTTAAAAGACAGGTAATAAGAGGCAACAATTTGGATCGAATACATGATTAACGGAAGGCACTCAAAAGGAGCTACCCTGACTGTGGCTCTGCAGTATAAATGTAGTAAAAGCCTGACAGCCCGACTCCTACTACAATTAAACTGCAGAGTTGCAGCAGGGGTAGCTCCTGGACCCAGTGTGAGCTGGGATGGAGCCTCTGTTCACCTTGGCTGGCTGCCAACAGGGGCTGCTTCACTGCAGAAGCTCATGTTCACAGGGGGGTCCCAATTCCCCACTTGGATCCCTTTTAAGCTGGCCCCTCCCAGCACCATCGCCTGCTCTGCCCCTCTTGCTGCCTCTGATATAGAGGAAGTAAGGGGTGGAGAAATGCAAGCAGTCGACTCGACTACCCAGTAAGCCTACGCTTATTGGGCGGTCAACTAATTGACTACTCTCTTGCATCCCTAATCTGTAGCCACTCCATGTACAGGATTCCTATTCTCATTGGCAGGATTTCCATTTACAAGTATAGGCACATACCTATCTTGTAACAAATTGATTATTGTTCTGCATAAGTTTGGTCCAGTTGTTAGTGCTTGGATTGTCATGTCAGAAAGACAGGTTTAATTCCCGAGCTTTGCAGTGTTTTGAAGGCTGCACATTCAACCTTAACTTTGCTTCTAGTAATCACTATGGTGGAAGGGAAGGAGGGAGATATCTGAAGGCATCATGAACCAAGCAGAGCCAACTGATAGGGAAAATGGCTTTGAGGTACTGGGGGAAATAACTTTCCACTGAGGACTGAGAACTGGAAAATTCTCTACTAAAGATATACTAATTTATTCCTCAAATAGGAAAACAAACAAACAAACAACTCTATGGGGGTATGTCTACACTACCCCGCTAGTTCGAACTAGCGGGGTAATGTAGGCATACCGCACTTGCTAATGAAGCCCGGGATTTGAATTTCCCGGGCTTCATTAGCATAAACTGTGTGCCGCCATTTTTAAATCCCTGCTCGTTCGAACCCCGTGCCGCGCAGCTACACGCGGCACAAACTAGGTAGTTCGGACTAGGCTTCCTAGTCAGAACTACCGTTACTCCTCATTCGACCTAGGAGGGTAGTGTAGACATACCTTGGGAGACAGACCCATAGTCTCCTATAGACAACCACCTAACCTCAAGATGATTCTTACCAACAACCACAGGACATACCACACTAATATCAACCCTGGTACTTTCCCTTGCAACAAACCCCGTTGCCAGCTTTGTCCACATATTCACCCCGCTTATGCTAATGAAGCCCGGGAAATTCAAATCCCGGGCTTCATTAGCAAGTGCGGTATGCCTACATTACCCTCCTAGTTCGAACTAGGAGGGTAGTGTAGACATACCCTGGGTGAGTGTAGACTACACCTCTCTGTGGACAGAGAGATGTAGATTAGGTATTTCTAAATTGCTAATGAAGTGGGGATTTAAATATCCCGTGCTTCATTAGCATAAACATGGCTGCCGCTTTTTTTCAAAACAGAGCTTTTTTAAAAAAAATGGCAGTCTAGACACAGATGTCAAAAAATAAACCCTTTTTCATTTTTTGAGGAATACAGGATCTGTCGAAAAAGGGCTTATTTTTTGACAAATCTGCGTCTAGACTGCCGCTTTTTTCGAAAAAGCTCCGTTTTGAAAAAAAAGCAGCAGCCATGTTTATGCTAATGAAGGATATTTAAAACCCGCTTCATTAGCAATTTCAACGTGTCTAATCTACATCTCTCTCTCAACAGAGAGGTGTAGTCTAGACACACCCTATAAGTCTAAGAGAATGAAGTAAAGGGGGTAGCCGAGTTAGTCTGTACAGAATAAACTTAAAAACAAAGTGCCACCAGACTATTTGTTGTTTTTTGGAATGAAGTAGACTTTCACTTTTATTATGTTTAAGTATAAATAGTTAATCAAGCACAATGAAATTCTTGTACAATTGTTTAGGAAGCATACACAAAGATTATGCAGAAAAAAAACATTTAGAACAGAACATCATATTTTCTTACCTTCAAAAACCCTAAGAACCTCTTGTCGGATATATTTTTTTATTTCTTCAAATGTATCTGGGTCAGCCTGATGCAAAAATAAAGAGCCATTCATTTAATGAAGCTTCACTTATAAAAAAATGTCTTAAACTATCTTCAGTCTAGCAGAGGCTACCAGAGTTTAGATATACAACACTAACAAACAAATAAACAAGGAAGACTAAAAATGATGACTTGATTGCTTGCACTGATTTTTCATTTGATAACTGAGTAATTACACAGCTCAGAGTAAGTTCAGTATTTGTGATCTGCTTGTACTGGGTATATATGGATTCATTTCCACTCTGCAACACACAAAGCGTTTACTTCTCTAGGTTCCACAAGCAACCAACCAGAGCTCTTTCTTTTCTTACCTGAAGACCTGGAGGACCTGGGGAACCCTGTTGACCTGGTGATCCTGGGTAGCCTCTGTCTCCTGGTGGTCCAGCATGCCCTATGACCCCCTTTTCTCCTGGAGGGCCAGGCTTTCCTCTTTCACCTTGCGGACCTTTGTCCCCTGGAATACCTTGATCTCCCTATCCAAATTAAGAAGCATAAAAGGGATTGTTATTATATACCAGTCTCATCCATTATAATTAATTAAAACTCAATCAAAATGCTGAGAAGAAATTTCTTCTTTCCTCAATGACATTTAATGTCTATTTGGAGAGAGAAAACATTCCAAAAAATAATTCAGAAGCTGATGCTTTCTTTGAAAAACAAAGGCAACAATATTCTCTTTTCATCTGTTGTAGTGTTTACATTCAATGACCATAAATGTTTATGAACAAGAATGAAATAACACCCAATGATAACACATTGGGCATTACTGTACTGCATTTCAAAAGATGGCCTCTCTCTTAAAAGCTCTTTGATCATTATGCTTGATCAAGAGACTGTTTCCTATCAATAATTCACATTTATATGGCCCCCACTATCATAGTATCTGAGCGCTGACCATCTTTAAAAACAACAAATGGTCTGGACTAACGAAACTCTATAAAGTGCTACTAGATGATTTGTTGCTTTTTCTTTAACAGACTAACTCGGCTACCCCCTGAAGCTCCTGACTATCTTTAATTAATCCTCTGCACCCCGTGAGGTAGAAGTACTATCATCCACATTTGATGATATGGACCTAAGGCCCAAAGTGACTGAATGACTTACCTCACGTCACAAAGGATCAGGCCAAACTATTAAAGGACTAGAACCACTGAACCACAGAAAGCTTAACCTTCTCTCTAGTGAAGACCTACAGCTGACCTTATTAGCAGCAGGTTGTAGTAGGTCTAACACATAAAACAGGCTAGAAGGGACATAATATAGATATAAATTGACTAAAAGGAGTTATACTATAAAGTGCAAATATAACTGAATGTTAGTAGTTCAATGAAATGCTACTGGGAGGTAAATATGAATTAGCATTCATTCAGCATAGCAAGTATTTACAAGCTGTGACCAAAGGGGAGCTGTACTAGCAATCTGGCTTGAACTCAATGGGACATACCTCCCTACTAAACTGAGTGAAGTAGCAATAAGATGCACTGTTGAATTCTATGAACTGTGTTTGTCCCATAAGCCATATTTTGGTCATCCCTGCTCTAGCGTCCACAAAAAGTGAAGAGAAAGAACTATATCAGAGCAACACAGTTTCTACTGAGTCAGGACATAATACATCAGTGGGGATATTTATGTGCCATGTGCACGATACAGTACTAAAGGAATACACAGACTCAATATACCAGACATAAATTAGAAAAAAGAAATACAGGCAGTCCCCAGGTTACATGGATCCGACTTACATTGGATCCCTACTTACAAACGGGGTGAGGCAACCCCGCACTAGCTGCTTCCCCCCAGCAGACCAGGGAGATGCGGAGCGGCTTTTCTCAGCAGACACCTCAGCTTGAGAATAAAAGACTGAGGGAAGTGAGGTGTGGGAGAATAAAACTGAGCTCTGGAGAAATGTTTGGCTAGAGTTTCCCCTACAATATGTACCAGTTCCGACTTACATACAAATTCAACTTAAGAACAAACCTACAGTCCCTATCTTGTATGTAACCCAGGGACTGCCTGTACAGTAGACATTTGAACAGCTCTGGCATTTGACCTTGACGATAAAAATGTAAGAAATTAAGTGCATGTGTTTTTCTAGGCTTAGTGTATTCCACAGTTTCAATTCATCAAAATAATAGCATATATAAGAAGTTATTTTTAATATTTACTTCCTTGCAAACAAACAAATCAAAGGTCAGCATTTCAGCCAGCAACAGATTTAATCAGATCTTGGGTGCTCCTGGCTCAGATGTCCCTTGATTTGTTTTGTTTGAAGGAATTAAATCTTTAAGAATGACTTAATATAGTTGTTATTAGTCTGTTGAACTTAAGCTGTGGAACAGTATGCAGCAAGTCATGCATTTGAACCACTAATGAGCAACTGATAGCCCTTAAGAGTCACTAACTCTCCTTGCTGACTCACTTACATTAATGTTAAGTTACATTATTGCAAGTGACTATTACAAAGAAATTATTTTTTTTACTAAGTCCTGAATTCACAGTGATAAAAATGAAGTAAACAAAATTATTAGTTGTATTAATAAACTGCAATGAAATGAATTGATGGTAATCTGTACAGAGATTGAAGCATTACTGACTCCTTAAATAGTAAAACTGTAACTGTACATTGTAGGAGTAAACACAAAACTTAAAGACTTCAGGGAAAAAAAGACACACAGCAAGTGAAGGATGTATAGCAGAAATTTAGAGATCTCTTTTTATCTGTTATTTTACCTCCAAATCTCTGATTTCCAATGAGTTAAAGCTTATTAAACACTTATTGAGAACACTGTGATTTGTGATATTTTACTGAATTAATTGAAATTGTAATGAATTTCTGACTGGGGTTTAAATTATCAATGGTAAACGTGCAGGCAATAATAGACTGCAGAAAGGCTGTAACTGCAAAAAAATCTCTAAATCCTGTAATCTCTCCACCCAATATATCAATGTAACCTGTCCCAAACTGCTAACAATTGTGCACATTGAAGGTTTCAGAGTGTCACAATAACATTCTCCTACAGCTATGGATTCAAGGGATACATTAGCATGATGTTTTTAGACAATTGCTCTGCCAGTATTACTGAAGTGGACTAATCTACACTCACTTAGCTTCTTATGGAAAAGTCTACTAAGCATGTGTAATTATATTTTGGGAGAAAAATATAATATGTCTGATGAAGGCTTTGCTGCGCATGCAAAGCTAATTCACCATTGTAAGGTGTGCAAGAACTCAACAGTGCAGATGGGCTCCTTTCTGACTCTAAGGCCTATGCCCCAATAGTGAAGCCAGAGAAGCATTCTAAAATGAGCCTGATGAGAAAATCCTGTTCTGGAGTGAGTACAGTATTGAAAGTTAAAAGAATAACCAGCATTATGATTTAACTTTTTTAGATTGAAATTGGGTATGGAAAAAATGTCAACAGACCCAGTTCTGCTCTGGAATCATTATGAATTCAAACTAGACTATAAACAAAACAGCAACCTGAGGTAGAGTAGTCTTACAGGAAGCCTAATTTAAGAGTTTCAGCAGTGCAAACATATATATAATTATCATTTACTGGTTTAGGTTTAAGGACATATAGGGTATCACAAAAAAATTAGAAATGTTGATTTCTTTTTGGCAAAAATGCTATTGCAGATGCACAAGTGGTCTCATACAAGTATTCCTAGGAATCTATTATATTTTAATAATGTCATAGCTATTTAAAAAGAATGTATTTGGCACCTCTAGTTACATAGCATTTACAAAATATCTATCATTGGTGTGTGTAATCATGTAAAGAGTTTGTAAAGTGATCTCAGTTTACATTCATCCACCTTGGTCCTGTTCCTGCTTAAAATGGACTCAACAAAGACTTAGGTATGAAATCATCAGCACTATTATTTTTTTCTCCTTTTCATTTTGCCCTTCAAGAATTGATGCTTCTCTTATTTTATAACCATTACAACTGCTCTCACCCTGAAGAAGGTATCCTGAAGCTATGAATGAGAGAAATCAAGGAAGGCACTGTTGCAAGAATGGACTGACTTGTGCTATTTTCTGTAATTGTTGAAATCTCTCTCAAAGGCTTTATCACCTTCTCCAAAGTAAATGTTTCCTCTCTGATTGGCACTACAGATCTCTTATTTGCAATGCAGACTTGTACTGTCCACTCTACAATTGGTCCCCATGCAAATCTATGGTTCACATCAATGGGACTAGTGTTTGCAGAACAACTGAAGAATTTGAAAAATTGATTCCAAGAGAGGAAGTTAATTTCATCCTCATTCTGTAAACATGGTACAGTGGTTGCATTCATGACCCTTCTGTTTTACAAGACAGTGAGGGATCTTTATAGTTAAAATGGCAAGTATCACTGGAACCATTACGATCTCTAACATGTCAATGTTTTAAGTATGGCTTTTCCACATATGGAGTGCACAGAGGGAAGCTGTTCTCCAAGAAGAGCAGCAGAGGCAGGCATAATTGACCTTGTGTTTTTTGAGAGCAAAGGTATACAATCTTTTCCATTCACTTGGATGGAACTGATTTCTGCCTGAGTGTTAGGGTATGTCTACACTGCATTCCTCTTTTGAGAGAGGAATGAAAATGTAGCCAAGCGAAATTGCAAACGAAGTGCGGATTTGAATTTCCTGTGCTTCATTTGCATAATCGCATCCAGCTGCTATTTCAAAATACCCTATTTCGAGAGAAAAAACACTGTGTAGATGCGAAAAAACCCTTCTTTTGAAATAACCGTTACTACTTAAAAATGAGGATTAACGGTTATTTCAGAAGAAGGGGTTTCTTTCAAAATAACCGCGTCTACATGGCGTTTTTTATCTCAAAATAGGGTATTTTGAAATAGCAGCTGGATGCGATTATGCAAATGAAGCACAGGAAATTCAAATCCGCACTTCGTTTGCAATTTCGCTTGGCTACATTTTCATTCCTCTCTCAAAAGAGGAATGCAGTGTAGACATACCCTTAGGGTACGTCTAGACTACAGGCTTCTGTCGACAAAGAGTGTCTAGACTACAGCCAGTCCTGTCGACAAAGCAAGCCGCTTTGTCAACAGAGAGTCTAGACGCTCTCTTTTGAAAAAGCACAGTGTGGATGCAATAGCACCTTTTGTCAACAGAACTCTGTCGACAAAAGGAGTTATTGTCAACAACTCGGTGGTAGTGTAGACGCAGGTATAGTTTTGTTGACAAAAGTCTACTTTTGTCGACAAAACCCTGTAGTCTAGACACACCTCTATAGTCCAACTCTGGTTCAGAGAGGAGTAAGGGCCATGATCCTAGCTTTCTTACCCCTTTTTGGTGTCTTACTCTTTAGTAGCAGAATGCAAGGAGCACAAAAGCTACTGCACAGAATGGTGAAGGGAAGCCGCTTCTTGTGTACTCCAATGCCCCACTGCTCAGAATCCCACTAACTAGGGATTTGACTGATGCTAGAATGGGTTGGCCCTTTCAAAGAGTCAGAAAAGTTGTAAGTGCACCCAATGTATGTTTCAGTGTAAAACCTCTCTATGGACAGCCTTTTCTTTTAACTTTACCTGAGAGGATACTACATAAGAACATAAGAATAGCAATACTGAGTCAGACCAAAGGTCCATCTAACCCAGTATCCTGTCATCTGACAGTGGCCAACAACAGATACCACAGAGGGAGGGAACACAACTGGTAATCCTCACGTCATCTCTCTCCTGTTATCCATTTCCAGACAAATCGAGGCTAGGGACACCATTCCTACCCATTCTGGCTAAAAGCCATTGATGGACCTAGCCTCCATGAATCTATCTAGCTCTTTTTTGAACCCTGTTAAAGTTCTAGTATTCACAACATCCTCTGGCAAGGAGTTCCACAGGTTGATTGTGTGGTGAGTGAAGAAAAACTTCCTTTTGTTTGTTTTAAACCTGCTGCCTATTAATTTCATTTGGTGACCCCTAGTTCTGATATTGTGGGTATAATTAAATAACTTTTCTTTCACTTTTTCTACACCTCTCATGATTTTATAGACCTCTATCATATCCCCCCCTTAGTATCTTTTCTACTAGTTGCATGGATAATCAATAAAATTAAAGAACACCGTAAAGGGCAAGATAGAGCAATAGAACATAGTATGTAGTGGAATGTTTAATTAGAACATGATTCATAAGGTTCATTTGGGTCCTTTACTTTTAAAGGCAGGAATAGAAAATATCAAAACATTAGTTAACATGGAAATTATTGTAACTGATACAAACTTCACTCTTTCTCTACACTATAATCTTGAGTTCCTTCTGTTACCCTAGGGACAGGATTTTCTGATACTCCAACTAAAACATGTTGTTAATGTTGTTACATTGGAATTGTGGAGCTTTACCTCCAAGGAACAGAACCATCAGCAGTAGAAAACTGCTGATAGAGTCAGAGCCAGAACTAGCACTTTTGTGTGAGCTTGGAAAATATTTTTTGTTACATCCCCCAAATATAACTGATTCATGGATACCAAAATCACACCACTATGAACAACACTGCCTAAGTGAAGTGATTTCTGGACTTCCCCCACTCAAACTTAATTAAATTGTTTCATATAAAATGTGTGTATGTGTGTTGGAGTCCTGGCAAGGGTAGGCCGGAATCTTTATTGCTCCCTCAGCTGCCTACTGTAAGAGTAGAGTTTTGGTTCTTGTTCCTTTCCACAAGTAGTGATTGATTTAAATTGTTAAGGCCATCTTTGCTAGAAAAAATGCTACAAACCTTTTCTCTTTACAAATGCAGGATTTCTCCTTTACAACTCTAGCTCCCCAATACAAGGGGGGCCTCTGGCCCTGACCTACTCAAGACCTAAAAGCCGACCCTTATTGAAGTTCTCACTAAAACTCTTTGTTGCTTTTGTCTCTAAGATTTAAAAATGTATTAGTCAGACACCTGGATGTTTTTCAAAGAGCCAAGTCAAATAATGGTATATACTACAAAGGGTTATTACGCTAAGACTTACACGTTCTCCTTTGGGACCTCTGTCACCTGCTTTTCCCATCAGACCCTGAAAATAATTTTTTGAAAGTGTAAAATGACTTGCTTGACAACTTGATTATACATTAAGTTATTAACACAGCTGAAAGTAATTGTCTGTGACTAAGAGTTACATTATCTGTGAAAAATAGAGTCTAAAATTAAATTTTCCTACTAACAATCCAAATTAAATTTTCCTACCTGAGGTCCTGGTAATCCATCTTTTCCATTTATTCCCTGTAAAAAGAAAACTATGTTTTAAGTTAACTATAGGCACCTAAATATGTTAAAAATAAGAAACAGGCAAGGGAAAATCTTGTGATCTGTGATGGAATTAATAAATATTTTGAAAGATGTTAAGGAGAATAATTTTTCTCCCTTCTCCTTGTTACACCCTTTTAGGTAAGCCGTTATTAAGCCCGCTTTCAGTCTTTTCTGTTCCAAACTAAACATGCAATTATTTCAATCTTCTCTTATACGTCATGTTTTCTAGACCTTTAATCATTTTTGTTGCTCTTTGGACCTTCTCCAATTTCTCCACATCTTTCCTGAAGTGTGGTGCCCAAAACAGGACACAATACCCAAAGTGAGGCCTAATCAGTACAAAGTAGTGCAGAAGAATGACATCTCGTGTCTTGCTTACAACATTCCTGTTAATGACTCCCAGAATTATGTTTGCTTTTTTTTTGTAACAGTGTCACATCGTTGAGTCATATTTAGCTTGAAGTCCACTATGAATCCTACATCCCTTTCTGCAGTACTCCTTCCTAGATAGTCACTTTCCATTATGTATGCGTGAAACTGATTGTTCCTTCCTAGGTGAACTTTACATTTGTCCTTGTTGAATTTCATCCTATTTACTTCAGACCATTTTTCCAGTTTGTCCACATCATTGTGAATTATAATCCTATCCTCCAAAGTACTTGCAACCGCTTCCAGCTTGGTATCATCTGCAAACTTCATAAGCATAATCTCTGCCATTATCTAACTCATTGAGGAAGATATTGAAAACAACCGGTCCCAAAACTGATCTTTGCAGAAGCCTACTTGTTATGCCCTTCCAGTATAACTGGTCACTATTGATAATTACTCTCTGAGAACGGTTATCCAACCAGTTATGCGTTCACCTTATTTTATTGATAAAAAGGTCAGATGAGACTATATCAAATGCTTTACTAAAGTCTGGGTATACCACGTTTACTGCTTTCCCCTTATCCACAAGGCTTGTTAGTCTATCAAAGAAAGCTACCGAATTGGTTTGATATGATTTGTTTTTGATAAATCCATGCTGACTGTTACTGATCACTTCATTATCTTCCAGATGTTTGCAGATGAATTCGTTAATTATTCGCTCCATTATCTTTCCTGGCACAGAAGTTAAATTGACTAGTCTGTAGTTTCTTAGGTCACCCTCATTTCCCTTTTTATAGATGGGCACTATCTCTACCCCTTTCTAGTTTTCATACACACTAGATATGTGATTAACTGCTTACTGGCATTCCAGTTTGCCCGTCTGGCCCAGGAAAGCCGATGTCTCCTACGGGGCCTCTTTCACCCTTAAATGAGAAACACACACACAAATATATACAATTTTCCATTTTATATTTAATATATAAGCAGGGCTCGACAAATGCACTCGCCCGCTCGCCTGTGGCAAGTAGATTTTTCCAGCTGGCGAGTGCAGGGGTGGACTAGCCCGGTGGGCTGTTATGACAGGTTGGCCGAAGCCCGCACTACGGGCGGCACGGCCCCATCCAATCCGCTGGCCGGTGGAGAAGAGGAGCACCACCAGAGAGGGGGAAGTGCAGCAATTCTTGCCACAGGGCTGCCTGTGTGCAGCTCTGGCGCGAGGAGGCGGGGCGTGATCCAGAGGGCAGGACGCTGGCAGACACCAGGATTCTGGCATGACGTGGCCCTGCCGATTTTAAAGGGCCGTGACAGCTTTGCTCTCGCCGTGTGTCCCCGGTAGCTGGCTGCAGCGAGGGGGAGCCAGGCCCCACCCCGCCCCGCTGGCTCCAGTCCCGCCACGGCCCTTTAAAATCGGCAAGAGAGACTGCTCCCTGTCGACTGCCTGGCTCGCTGCGCCCCCCCCGCGC